ATACAGTGCAGTCATCCTGTCCCATGTGCAGAAAAACACCCCCAAAGCATGATGCGTCCACCCCCATGCTTCACAATAGGGATGGTGTTTTTGGGATAGTACTCATCATTCTTCGTCCTCCAAACACGGCGAGTGGATTTAAGACCAAAAAGTTCTATTTTTGTCTCATCTGACCACATAACTTTCTCTCATGACTCCTCTGGATCATCCAAATGGTCATGGGCAAACTTAAGACGGGCCTGGACGTGTGCTGATTTAAGCAGGGGAACTTTTCTTTAGTATGCATTAGGGTTGCAACTAACGATTATTTCAATAATCAAGCCATCGGCCGATTATTTTTTTGATTAATCGATGAAGCGGCAAAAACCCCAACATTTTAATTTCCGCCCCTTTATTCCAAAATTGAACATTTGACTGACATAGCAATTCGCACAAAAAAACAGGTTGCTATTTGACTATTCTGTTAGTAAAATATTGAATAATAAAAAAAAAGTTAGTCAAATAGCTTAAAAAAATAAATGTACACAAAAATATATACAAATGTCTGCTTTATACCTGCACAATATATAACTACTTTGTAAAATGTGCCCTTGAGGGAAGAGTGTAACCTGGATTAAAAGTGTATATTATTGTAACCTGGATTAAAAATGTGGATTATTGTAACCTGGATTAAAAGTGTGGATCATTGTAGTGAAGCCTTGGTCTTCAACCATCGACAGAGCCCTTGTGTCAGTGACGCTCATTTAAGGATTTTTCAGTGAAGACAGCTGCTGCTGTGGTGTCCATGATGTCTGTCCATCATGAAGGCTGTCATTGTTTGTTGTTGTTTTCTGGAATGAGACAGTACATATGTATTATAGCATAATTTACAGCAACTCAAGAAATGCCTTGTTTCACTTAGTGTTAGGTTCAGGCAAATAAGTAGCTAAAAGAGCAATTAAACACACACACACACACACACACACACACACACACACACATATATATAAAATACTTAATTACATACACTTGAGTAGATGTAATAAATTACTTTAATTCCTGTTTAAATGCATTCATCCATATCTGCAGTATCTTCAGACTTTGCCAGCAAATTAAAAGTTGAAGCTTAATCATTAAATTATCTTTGTGTTAGATTTACTTATAAATCATATTTAAACACTGCTTGTACCAATTAAATAAAATAAAAAGTAACACGTTCTCTATCACCGTCATTAATCAGCTAACAAACAAGCAGCAGCTTCAGCTACAGAGAGACTGACGTTACGTTTTCTCACTTGGAAACAGAACAATGTGTTATATTGTAGAGACTCACCTGCCAATACATGAGTTGGGAGTGAGACGAGTTGTATCTGCTGCTGCTCCTTCGTCCTCCTCGTGACTCGGACATGTTTACATCTATCTCTCTGGTTCTCCTGTGTCGTGTCGTCACTTTTCAAAGCAGCATGTTTCTCAGTTTTTATCTTTGTGAAGTTCTCCCACACTTTGGAGGACTTGGGTTGAACAGTTTTCGCTGCGTTGGTCATTTGTAAAATGTACTTAATTTCCTTTGAAAACACCGCCTCTGCTCTGCTTCCACCTCCCCCCTCGCTCTGTTCAACTCACGCTGCAGAGTTTATATATATTTTTTTACTTTATTCAGTCAGTCAGCATTGACAATGAACTGCAGGTGAACAAAACAGCTCTGCAACACCGTGAAAGACGCATAATCGTGCGACACAACGAATCGATAATGAAATTCGTTGCCAATGCTTTTAATCATCGATTTTTATCGATTTTATCGATTCGTTGTTGCAGCCCTAGTATGCATGATTTTAAACTATGACGTCTGTTTTATGAAATTTCTTATACAAGGTTCGTGAACGGTCGGCCCCGATAATTCACACGAGAGGAAAATGAAACACAAGTAGACTGTCCTGCTAGAATAATAGTGTCATTTTATTAATCTGCCACAGAAAAACAGCCAAGCAAAAACATGTACACTCGTACACTCTTAACACACAAATTGATATGAAAGTCCTCTCACCGTTGACACTTAGTCGGGAAGCCTTCTACCCAATGACAGGAAATCACACCAAACTGCTGGGCACCGCGCGCTGGCCCTCAGCAAGACTTCTGACTCTCCTTGCCTGTCACACCTCCTATATACCCCTCCCTGACCGGATCGCGTGAGAGCAGTGAAAAACAAGTTTGATGGTTGTCAGGAGGACAGACAGAAAGTCGGTATCTCATTAAAACATGTTTTCCATCATCAAAGCAGTCTGTACAACAGAGCGATGGCTCATAAAAACATGTCTTTCAAACCCAAAGTCGTGGGTGGATGAAAGACCTGTCTACATCAAACTCTGGGTCACTGTGTAGTGAACTAAGCCTCAGGTCAAAACCTGATCCTGGGACAGGAACTGTTATTTCATTGATTTGAGTCCAGAAATACAAATTAAGCATCCAGAGACTTTCTAAGTGTGTCCTGCACTAAATCAATTGAAAGAACACTCTCTTTCATATTATCATTACTATTTTACAAATGTCTTGATAATCAAAAGTGTGTTTAGTTCAAACCATTTTAAATGTTGAAGTGAACTACTCACTTTAAATCAACTGTGAAACAGTATTAATGATTTTTAATCCTCATTCAAAGTAGAAATCAAGTTAAAATGCCTGTTACAAGTAATTATGCATTTTGATCTTCTGTCTGAAATGAGAAGTTGTGATGTCGGTCAAAAGTCAAGAAAACTGTCAAAAACATGTTTATCGTAACGAAATGTCATGTTTAACTCTCTCAGATAGATAGAAGGAGACTGGCTCCTAAATGTCTCTGTTTCTTCAAAACATTTCTCTGTCTGTTCCAAAAACATTTCTCCGTCTGTTCCAAAAACATTCAGCTGTTTTTCTGACTTGTAATAACCTCTTACGTCACTAAAACCACACCCCTATTGGTTCGTTCAACCAATCAGGAAGTTCTCAGAGGAACCGGAAGTGACCTCTTTAAAAGGATCGACACTTCCTAGTTCCAAGCAGAACAAGTTCCAGAGCGGAACAAGAGTTCCAAGCAGAACAACGTTCCAGACATGAACCAAAGTTCTGAGAGCAGAACCGAACGAAAGTTCTGAAGTGCTGGAGTTAAGTTAGTTGGGAGTTCTTTCGAGTCTCGTGGGGATTATGGAATCTTCCACATCTGAGTGGAACTCTGACGGGCTCACAACTCATGTGAGTCCACCTGGGAGGTGAGCGTGCTGTTGAACGAAGTACTCTCACGACTCCTGAGGTCACAGCTGTTCTTACGGAGACGCTGAAAAGAGTTGAAAGAAAACTCTACACCGGAGCCGAAACTATCGTCTGCAAAGGTAAAAGAGTCGATCTTCACTTGCGAGTGTACCGTGGGTTAAGCTGCATCCAAAGGAGCGTGTTGTTTCTGGTTATAACAGACACATTCCCTCACCCATCTCTCTCCATTTAAACTTCATTTTCCCATCTTTAAAACTCTTCTATCTGCCAGTAATTAATCCAGATATTTTCAGAAATGTCTGTTGTATTTTAGTTGCAAGTAAGAAATCATGGCCGTATGATTTCTCATTGTAAAGCTCATTAATTAAGCTGTGTTAATTGTAATCAATCTGTCAATTAATGTAAATGTGTGATGTGTTTTAAATCGTTTTTAATTAAACGGCTCACTGTTGTTGGTGAGTCAGAAATTTAAACACGTTTCCGTCCACATTTAATCATTCAAGGCACGATAGTCCTCAGTCCAGAAAAATGAAAGAATCCGTTTAAATTATGGATAATATCAGACAGGTATCATTCATTACAACTGTAACCATAAGATGGGCCAGATCCCACGGTTAGAGCATCCCCCGGAGGCTCACTTTTAATTACTCCAAAACACATCTGCAGCACAGGCCTGACTTTGGACAGATAAGCTGCATATAAAGTGAGTATAAGTATAAATTGACATAAAAGCATCAAAATAATCATTCCTATATCAACGTCTTAGTGTATTACCCACAGTAACCTTGGAAACAGTGGTGCCAGTTCTCTTCAGGTTATTGACCATCTCCTCCCGTGTAGTTCTGGGCTGATTCCTCACCTTTCTTAGGATCATTGATACGCCACGAGGTGAGATCTTGCATGGAGCCCCAGTCCGAGGAAGATTGACAGTCATGTTTAGCTTCTTCCATTTTCTAATAATTGCTCCAACAGTTCATCTTTTTTCACCAAACTGCTTGGCAATTGCCATGTAGCTCTTTCCAGCCTTGTGGAGGTCTACAATTTTGTCTCTGGTGTCTTTGGACAGCTCTTTGGTCTTAGCCATGTTAGTAGTTGGAGTCTTACTGATTGTGTGGGGTGGTCAGGTGTCTTTATGCAGCTAATGACCTCAAACAGGTGCTTCTCATTTAGAATAATAAGTAGAGTGGAGGTGGACTTTTTAGAGGCGGACTACCAGGTCTTTGAGGGCCAGAATTGTTGCTGAATGGCAGGGGTTCAAATACTTATTTGCAGCAGTAGTACACAAATAAATTATTAAAAATCATACAATGTAATTTCCAGATTTTCTTTTTAGATTATGTCTCTCACAGTAGACATGCACCTAAGATGAAAATTTCAGACCCCTCCATGATTTCTAAGTGGGAGAACTTGCAAAGTCGCAGGGTGTTCAAATACTTATTTTCCTCACTGTATATATACTTATTGTGGGTCTTCATAGTACAGATCCCCTGAGATCAACCAGGGACTGCTGTATTCTAAAGTTGAGTTTTCTGTAAACCTGAGGCTAAACTGGATGTTAAACACCAATCATACTGCTAAATAAAAAGTGATCTTATAAATGTCTGCAGATTGTCACGTCACACCTCAAGTGGTTGAGAACGTAAAGATTTAATGTTGTGTTGATTGAATGATACAAACTCTACAAAGTCTCTTTCAATTCTAGCTTGTAAGACAACAAAACAGGAAAACGTTGTTAAAGCTGCTCAAGGAGCCGTTCCCTCCCCATGGCTGTGTTTCAGGTGGAGTCCAGTCAGCTGCCCTCTATGATGGAGACACAGATGAAAACATCCAAAGCAAAGGCAGAGAAGAGACTGAAGGAGACAGCAGAGAGTCCGGCTCCAGAATCTGGTCCAGGACCAGCACAGCCTGCACTGAGCTTACAGGGTGAGTCCAGTTCAGTCACATTTAGAGGTGCTGACTCAGCGTTCAAGTCACTTGTCTCCTGTTTATAGTTTCTTCCAAACTGGTTTGTTTTTACACTACCAGATAAAGCTTCATGAAGCTTCATCTGGTAGTGTGAAAACAACCAGATGGTTGTGATTTTTCAAACCTTTATCTGAGGAGCAGACTGTTTTGAATTTAACTCCATCACAGAACTCTCATCTTGAGCAAGCATGAAGGTGACAGTGGAAAGGAAAAACTCCCTAATGAGGAAGAAACCTTTAGCAGAACTAGGCTCAGGACAAACGACCATCTTCTTTAACCGGCTGGGTTTGGTAGGAACAGATACACAATTGCAGGTCGAGAATCATATGTTAAGATACAAACCGGATTCCAAAAAAGTTGGGACACTAAACAAATTGTGAATAAAAACTGAATGCAATGATGTGGAGGTGCCAGCATCTAATATTTTATTCAGAATAGAACACAAATCACAGATCAAAAGTTTAAACTGAGAGAATGTATCATTTTAAGGAAAAAATCTGTTGTTTCCAAATTTCATGGCGTCAAAAATCCCAAAAAAGTTGGGACAAGTCCATTTTTACCACTGTGTGGCATCCCCCTTCTTCTTACAACACTCAACAGACATCTGGGGACAGAGGAGACCAGTTTCTCAAGTTTAGTGCAAACGTGCAGTGCAAACGTCTGAGCTTGTGGAGTGTTAAAGATGGGAGCTGGCTGCGGGCCACTGGATCCGGAAACGCCCTCCAGCCCATGTCTTTTCCCCCGGCTCGAACCTCCCTCAGAAGTGGCAACTCATGCTAACAAATAAATCAAGGAAACGTCAATTAAGTTCTATCAATTATATTAAAATAGGCAGGAGAAGATTACAGTTTTACAACGCTGGACTCTCCGTACCGTGACGCTTTCACAGACCCGGAAGAGCCTCGATGTCTCGTCTCATTACTCCTTTGTAGGGTCCTAGGCTCTGCCTTCGCAGAAGGGGGAGCTCAACCTGTCAGTGTATGAGGGGGCGTGTCTAAGTGTGGTCTTATGTGGACTGACGTGTTAGGAAAAATATGAGACGGTGCTTCAAAGCTTTTCTACGTGATGTGGCAAGCAGATTAAACTGTTTGACTGATATTGAAATCCCAGGGAGACTCTCTTGAGAGCTGCTGGCCCAGTTTAACCCAGTCAGAACCGGGTCATAATTTCATTATAATCCAGTCTCTGAGCAGATCAAAACCATAGGATCAGTCTAAATAAGAAATATCTTAACAGGAGCTTGCTTAGAAATGGCTTCCTCTTTGCACTGTAGAGTTTCAGCTAGCAACGGCGGATGGCACGGTGGATTGTGTTCACTGACAATGCTTTCTGGAAGTATTCCTGAGCCCATTCTGTTATTTCCTTGACAGTGGCATTCCTGTTTGAGGTGCAGTGACGTTTAAGGGCCCGGAGATCACGAGCATCCAGTAGAGTTTTACGGCCTTGACCTTTACGCACAGCGATTGTTCCAGATTCTCTGAATCTTTTGATGATGTTATACACGGTTGATGATGATACCTTAAAAGTCTTTGCTATTTTACGCTGGGTAACACCATTCTGGTATTGCTGCACTATCTTTCTGCGTAACAATGGTGGAATTGTTGATCCTCTTACCATCTTGGCTTTTGAGAGACACTGACACTCTGAGAAGGTCTTTTTATATCCAATCATGTTGTCAATTGACCTAATTAGCGTTAATTGGTCTTCCAGCTGTTCGTTATATGCTCAATTTCCTTTTTCCAGCCACTTATTGCTACTTGTCCCAACTTTTTTGGGATTTGTTGACACTGTGAAATTTTGAATCAACATATTTTTCCTTTTAAATGTTACATTTACTCAGATTAAACTTTTGATCTGTCGTCTATGTTATATTACGAATAAAATATTGACATTTGCCATCTCCACATCATTGCATTCAGTTTTTATTCACAATTTGTTTAGTGTCCCAACTTTTTTGGAATCTGGTTTGTAGAAATAGTATCAAATGAAAACTATTCAATTTTAAAGGGCTCCACGATTAGTTGTAACAACAAACTTTATTTGAGGAATTATTAAATATTAAATATTAATTATTAATATTTTAGATGTAAAAACAATACAGTAAAATTTTTGTATTCTGTTTAGCTTTTATAAATTTAAATAAAATATTTAGGGATGGGGCCGATCCAGTATCGGTATCGGCCTCCGATACCAGCATAATTTACATATTGGATTTTTCCGATCCACCTGCCGATATTTCCTACCCATGATGCATGTTGGCTTCAAACTACGGAATGGATTTCCTGAACGGCGGCGTGTCTCATGAACCCAGAGTAATAAGACCCGCCTCACATTCAAGAAATCCAGTTCATAGTTTGCAGCCATCTACAACATGAGGACTGAGTTAGCAGCACTGTGGCTAATGGCTAACCAACTTTTCATCTAAACATGTCCGCTGTGTGGAAGTATTTTGCATTAGAAACACCACAAAACAAGACAGCAACGTGCAATGTCTGCAGAGCCATAGCGCCACATTAAACTGCAGTAAAGTTAGTTTTACGTTGGACATTCAAGCTCCGTGGCTTCAGCGGGGCGCTGCTCTTTGCTCAACCGGAAAGAGGCGACTCGACCCTGGCCAGCTGCGTCCAATCTGCCCCATTCAGTCTGCCCGTCTCCGAGGAGGGACAGACTTGAGCGCGGCTGCCCCAAATCAGGCTGCCTGTTTTGGATTGAACAAGAAGAAGACATCGCTGAAACCACGGAGCTCAAATGTTTACCGAGAAGTTGCTAAACTTGATCATAATTCATGACCAACCCCTATCAGTTGTGGAAAACGAAGGATTTCACAGCTTGATACTTGCATCCAAGATATAGTTTACCCTCCAGGAGATATTTATCAGTACGACAGTAAACAATCATAAAAAAACGTATGATTTGAAAATTATATTAAAAACAAAAACAGCTACATTATAAAGTGATGTAAAATACTAAAAACAGGAATATGTCTGTTGGTTTATGCCATGAACTTAGCAGATGTTTGAAGCCATTTAACATTTTTATTTAATTTAATTCATTCATTTAAAAGAAACAAAATTTAAAAAAAATCATGAAAAAGAAAACATTGAAGAGTGCAGAAAGAAAAAAAAATCTTATATCTGCCCCTTATTTAAATAAATATAAAATAACTTTAAACAATCACTTAAAATTAATCACTTTAATATCCACTTTAAAGCTTGGAATAACAAGAAACATGTTTTGTGTTAGCAGAATTTAATTCTAACTTTAAAACTTATCCAAAATTAATAAAACTTACCTCAAGTTGCCTTTTTGGACATGCATGCATATATTTGTACAAAATGTACTTGAGAGGAGATTATTACAGCTTCATATAAAATCAATGATGATCATGATATCGGAACTGGATCGGTATCGGCCGGTGTTCAGGATTAGGTATCGGGATCGGATCGGAAGTTTAAAAAAAGTGGATCGGTGCATCACTAAAAATATTGTCACACGGACGTTGCCATGTTTACACTGCAATGCATTCTGGGTAAATTATGGACCTAGGGCCTGTAGTGCTAGCACCGTCCAGCCAAAACAGCTATGAGTAACATTACTCCTTTTCAGTTTGAACCGGAGCGCGTTGAAATTGATGTCAATGTATTACTCACAAGGGGTAATGAAGATGAGGAGGACCAAATGGATGAAGAAGAAAGAGTTGGCCAAAGAAGTTGTTGTTTGTGCAGCCTGTCTCCATGTGGTCTATTTTTATTGGCTAAAATACATCTTCTGCCCACTGTACTGCTGCATCTGATGTACTGACAACAGTTTGTGTTTCAGCATTAGTAGTTGAAGACAATTGCAGTCAAGATTGTTGTATTATTAATATACATACAACATCTTAAAGTTGTGAAATAATAATAACAATAATAATAAATTAAACATGAAGCTGAAGTTGGTTTCCAATTGCAGCTTCCGATTCGGAAAATGGCTAAAGGGTGATTCCACTTTTCGCTACCATGAGCGTCTTTAATCTGTTCTAGTTTAAAGACTAAAATACTTAACCTGGACTAGATTATTCTACACTAATAGCAGAATAATTAAAACCTGCTCTCTGATTTGCAAACCTTTATCTGATTTGTGAAACTTCAATAAAGGGCGATTTCAACATATTTTTTTGAATAATTTGAGCAGAATTAAAAGTCAAAATAGGCAAATGTGTGTTTGTGTGTGGGTAAAGGGTCTCTACAATAAAACAAGCCTCAGTTAAAAACAATTATAAATACAAAACTTCAAATTTGTAAACATTATTAAACAGTTTTTTATTCTAGAGATTTGAACATCTCTATTTCTGCTCAGTTGCATGAGAAGCTCCTCTCTCACTGAAATAAAAGGCATTTTGAATCATTTGAAATGTTTTCTTCTTTTTTTTAAATACATGATCATTTTGGTCACTTAAATTAGAACAGATTAAAGACACTTAAGGTAGTGAAAAATTAGGGGAAATCGCCCTTTAGCCATTTCCAAAATTGGAAGCAGACTTCAGCTTCGTAAATGAAACGATAGATGAACACGTACCGCTGGTCGGACTGTGTGATCTGGTGAGTAGATGACGTGCTCTGTGTCTTGTGTCAGGTCAGATAGCACCTGTAAGCCCCCAGTATACTCCAGTGTACGTACGTCCGCGCGGAGGTACGCGGATGGTTGAGACTTCATACTCGAGCGTCCACCCAGAGCGGTTGCAGAGCAGCTCTGCAGACAAAGGGCGTTTACCTTCGGGACAAATTGAGGTAGCCGATTGGTCATTTGCTGACACGCCTACTGGATTGATTGACAGGTCAAAAAAAAAAACGAGAGCTGGCAGCCCCAGTCGCAGCGATGTATTATGTTTATATGTTGTTAATAAAAATTTCTAAAAAAATAAAATATAGGGAGCGCTGGTCCTGCAGCCCACACATCAGATCAGCCCAAAAAGAAAT